AGATCAGGCAGAGAACAAAAAGGGAAAACCAAAAAGATTAGGTCATGGAAACCTGAGGATCACAACATTCAAGATGGTGAACATCTTCTGCTTAAAAGCTGAAGAGGGGCTTAAAGAAGTAGATTAGAATAATTAGCCAGAAAAAAATCTTTTCCTAAGAAGTATTCACCTTTTGAATGTAACTTAAATTTCTCTAAGAACTACAGAGGAAAGAAAAAAGAAAAAGAAAAAATAAAGATCAATTCCACAAATTCTAGAATTCGGAAAGTTTTCACTTTTCCTTTCCATCTTATTTGTTACTTTTAAACCTTTGCCAGTGGCTCTCAGGATAAACAAACACTGGCTTTTGGTTTTGTTTTTTTTTTTGTGGGGGGGGAGAAGGGGGTTAAGTTAATAGAGAAATCATTCAGTAAATAGATTTTTACTGTCAGACTTGGTAGTTAGTACTCATTTTTTCTGACCGATTGTAGAGGCCTTTTTTCAATAATGAAACTATTCTTGGCAGAAAGTTTAGAAAGAACAAAACAAAGATTATGAATTAGATCTCTTTGTGTGTATGTCTCTGTCTCCATCTCTGTCTCTCCCTGTGTGTGTTACGAATTAGATCTCTTTGTGTATATGTCTCTGTCTCCATCTCTGTCTCTCCCTGTGTGTGTGTGTGTGTGTGACACTATCATTACTAGAGGCTATGCCAATAAACTTTCTCAGTAGGAAGAAAGCGTGAGGTTTTTTTCTTTTTAAAAAATTCAAATTCACAATTCAGGAGGCAATGTGGACGAGCGACAAGCTCACGGCTGAAATGTAGGAGCTTTACGCACTGGTTTGTCTCTGCTAACTACTTGCTGACCAACTCTGAGGCTGTTCTGTAGTTACTTTAGTACAATGTAACACTAATTCTATATCAGAATGAGACAGAAATTGTTAATAAATTATAGAAAAAAGAATAAGAAAACAGTGCTAAATTACACTGTGAGAAATCAGATTTTAAATTCCACGATAAGCTGTTTACTGACTGAGCTGTTAGTTTTAACTGTCAATTTGCCATAACACAGAGTCACCTGAGAAGGAAGGCCCAGCTGAGGAATTATCCAGATCAGACTAGACTAGTAACACATCTGCTGGGGACTGGGTTGTCATAATGGTTAATTGTTGTAGGAAAACTTGGCCTGCTGTGGGTGGCACCATCTTATGGGCTGGTTCCTGAACTATGTAAGAGGAGAAAGGGCTGGTTGAGTATAAGAAGGCAGCAGGCAGCAGGCAGCAGGCAGCAGGCAGCCAGCAGGGGGCACTCGTTTCTCTCTGCTCCTGACATGGAAGTAATGTGTGTGATTGGCTACTTGTGTTTCTGACCTGACTTCCCCTCAGCAATAGACTGTAACTGTAATTATATGCCAGGTAAACCCCATTTCTCCCCTAAACTGCTTGTTGTCAGGGTATTTTATCACAGCAACAGAATTAAATTAGACCAGTGACAAAATGCAATATATGTTTTCAAGAGCAGAACAAATCTAGATCACACACTCCAACTGGGAGTTTCCAGGGCTAGCATTTTAAAAGCTCAAAGTCTGCTCATTCAGAGGCATCTCCACCCTCACTCTGGTGCATGATATTTTAGTATGGCCATTTCCGGTTTCTCTTCTTATACATAATATCAAGTAAGCAGCAAAACCCAAAGAAATTTAGCTTACAAACCACTGAAGTAATTACCAATATGGAGTCAAGTCAGATGTGAGAAGGGCACAGTGTCACTGGCCTAGAATCTCAGCATTAGGGAAGCAAACACAGGATTGTGAGTTTGCTTGGGTTATACTGGATTCTGAGTTTGATGGGGAGGTCAGACTGGGTTACACAGTAGTTCTAGGTCAGCCTAGGTTACAGAGCAAGACTGTATAAAAAAAAAAAAAAAAGACATGAACTGCTTCAGTTTACTGAAAACTACTTGGAGTCCGCTCAAGGAAACTAGAATCAGCTCACAGGAGGCCAATGCCTACTTTTGTGTTGGCATTCTACCAATGCCAACAGTTACTTCTTACATAACACTATGAAGCACGCCATTTGAAAGTTAGAAAACAAATGGAAAGAGAGGTGCATTATCCTTGACAGGCTGTATTTTATACTAATCTTCCAAAAGTTTTACATACACATTCTAGCACTTGGTACTAGAAATAGTCTTAAAATCAAACACTGCCATGTGATTCTATGTTTATAATGGAATGAACCACAAAGTAAGTATCATACAGCATTGAAGCTTACTGTAAAACTGAAAGTTTTATGGCAATTGCATCACCCAATGGCACACCAAACCAAGTATTAGCCAACTAGGAACAGTCGGTGGCACATTCTTGATGTTGGCAAGATGGCACTATGTGGGTTCCATCATCAAATATTTTAATTTGCAATGGTGTACTACAAAAAGTACAACAATAAAAACTAAATATTTCAAAGCCTGCACCAACCACGCATTTTAGGAATTCCACAAGCTAGGCTTGGTGGCACCTCTCTTTAATTCTGTCACTTGGGAATCAGAGGCAGGAAGAGCTCTGTGAGTTTGTGGCTATCCTGGTCTACACATTCCAGGCCAGAGAGGGCTCTCTGTCTTGGGAAGAGAAACAGCTGTTTGTTCCAGCTTGATTTTCTGTTGCTGTGATAAAATACTGACCTAAAGCGACGTTGGGTAGAAAGGGACTGATTTCATCTTGCAGACTACAGTGCAGCATGGAAAGGCGTGAGGGTAGGAACACAAGCAGAGACAGTAAAGGAACACTGCTTCCTAGGTCTCTCTTGGAGGCTTTTTCAGCTTGCTTTTTTACCTAGGACTGTCTGCCCAGGCTTGGCACTGCCCACAGTAGTAGGCTAGACCCTCAAATACCAATCATTAACCAAGAAAATGCCCAGATATACCTATAGGCCAAGCTGAGAGGCAATTCCTTAACTGAGGTTCCCTCCTTCCAGAAAACTCTAGTTTGTGTCAAGTTGACAAAAACTAACCAGCACAGTGTTACTTTTCTATTGCCTCTGTCCTTCAAACTTAAGAGGCTGAAAAGAACACGCATGGATTATCTTACAGTTCTGTAGATTAGTAGCCTGACACACGAACTAAGGTGGTGGCAAGTTTTAAATGTGTCTGGAGACTCCAGGAGCAAAGTCCACTTTGCAGTTTTGGCTCTTGGAATCTGTCCTATGTTATCACACAGTCCTTTCCCCATCTTGTAAGCCTCCAGTAGCCAGCAGTCTTTCCCATATCTGCTCATGATGGCCTTGCTCAGGTCTCTTTCTGACTCCTCCTCTATCCTTGTCTGCTACTTTTGAGGATCACTGTGTTTACATGGACTCTCAAGAGAACTCTCACCTAGAACTAACTCCCCCTTTCAGTGTTAAGATGACTTGTAACCTTAGTTTGTCTTTCCAGTATAACAGACAACATTCACAGGTTTCTGAGGTGAAAAGACTGACATTTGGAGGGCCATTATCCTGTTGACTATCATCAAAAAACAAAAGAACTCTACAGGATTATCAATGCTCCCCATTAACACTGACATCCAAAGGTTGCTCACTGGGGATTTTAAAGAGTTTTGAAGTTGGACATGGAAAGTGGGGTGGGGGACTGTAGGGAAAGGAATAGGGTAAATTTGATCAAAACACATGAAATTCTTAAACAATAAAATAATTTTTAAAAAGAGATTGTTCACTAGCCGGGTGGTAGCGATGCATACCTTTAATCTCAGCCCTTAGGAGGCAGAGGCAGGTGGATATCTGAATTCGAGGCCAGCCTGGTCCACAGTGCAAGTTCTGGGACATCTGGGGCTATACAGAAAACCCTTTTTCAAAAAAATTTTAAAAAAAGGAAAGGAAGGAAGGAAGGAAGGAAGGAAGGAAGGAAGGAAGGAAGGAAGGAAGGAAGGAGAGAAAGAAAAAAATTGTCCACCTACTAATTTTAGGCTAAATATAATTTATTCTGATCTTAATATACTAGCAAACAAAATCTAAAAGACACTAATATCTTAACACTGATTTTAAATAGGCTTTCTTATGCAGCAATCTTATTTGAATCAAGATATACACTAACTCTCTTTCTACTATTTCTACTACTACATTCACTAACTAATTTGGCATTTATAAAACCATATTGTTCTTTGTTTACATATTTGAGTAACTATATAAATATAACTGGGCCAAAACCATAGATCCACAAATTAACTTTTATAGTTGCTTATCCCTGTTGCATATGCTGTCTTCTTATCAATAAAGTAAGCCTACCTTACAGACTTGTCATGATGATATTATGGGATTATAAATGTAGAATGCTTGGCACAGTTCCTGGCTACCCTCAGGTACTCCTTGAGTGAGTAAAATTAACATTTATTTTATAAAAATTTCATCCAAGCTTTAAAGTACAATAAAGATAATTTTATATATCTAGACTGTTACAAGATTCTCTACAGAACTTTAAACAACATAATAGAATATTACTGCATCCTTAATATGTAGATTTTTCTATATTTAATTAAATTAGTTAAATTATCTTTCAATTTAACTAACTAGATTATAGCTCTCTTAATATTTAATTTTTTTAGACCAGTTTTACTATATATCCCAGGTTAACCTCAAACTCATGATCCTCTTGCCCTGGTCACTGAGTGACATTACAGTAATGCACCATTACACCTGGCCTGATATTACTTTTAACTTAAAAATAGAAGGAGGAAAAAGAAGAAGAAGATAACCAAAGTAGAATTGCAAACGCAGAGTGATCTTCAGAGTGAATTCTAAAGAATCAACTTCCAAGGCTACCCTCATCACTTGACTAGTACCAACTTTGAAGCAAGGCTTTAATTTTAATTATGTGCACTGAAGAACTGACAGAGGGGTAATGAATTAAAATTAAAACTGAATATGAACATGAAAACCGATATTCCCTAAAATTAACAAGATATTTATAAAATTTCAGTTTAACTATTTCAGGACAGTTCTTTTGTATTTTCAAGCACAAAAATACTTACAGTTTGATAATATGAGGATGACGAAAGAGTTTAAGATTTTGAATTTCTCGTTTTATTTTTCCAACAACATCTAAACTGCGAATCTTCTGTCTATTTAAGATCTTAACTGCCACTTTATGGCCTGTCAATTGATGTTCTCCAACTAAAGAAAAGAGAAAGAGAGACATTGGCTGTCAGAAGAACATAATCATTCCTCGTGCACCTTCCCACTGGGTTGTAAGCTTATTTCCTCATGGATGTACTTCAGCATCATGGGATGCACAGGCCTGAAGTTCTCCTCATTTACCCCAGCCTCTTCCCCTTGAGAAGGTGTGCCTTCAAAACAGAAGCTGTGCCTCCATCATCTCAGCATCCTCAGCCAAGCATAGCCATGCTCCTCCCATCTTTGTGCAAAGGATTACTCAGTTCTGTATTCCTTCATAAGAATACTACAGAATATCTTTTAGACAGAGTAGAATTCCTTATGTTTTCCTTATCTTTCATCTTCTATGAAATACATCACTGTATTTACTACAGAATAAATAATTTCTTTAATACACATAAAACAGTTAACTTCTGTCCAAAGTTAACTCAATCTTTGCCACTTCCCATATCACTTCTTTGCTCTCTTTGTTCAGGGCCCACGTTCATCTTACTGGATTGGTCTGGTGTTAATGGTTCTGCTAAGGAGGCATTACTGTCTGAGGACGGCACCACTCTCTCCTATTAACTGCTAGAAGCTCTCCTTTCTGCTCTCTACTGGCTCTTTAAAGTTAATGTCCCAAGGCTTCTCACCTGGATCCTTGGTAGAGACCTGAATCATCTCACTCATCACCCAAGGCTTATGTTAACTAACGATCCTGCTCCCTCTTCAGGTTCACAAAGAGAATTTCAAGATGGGTGTTCCCCGGGCCCCTCAAGTTTAACAAGTTCAAAATTAGATGCAGCATTCTTGGTCTCTTCCTCTGCCAAACTCATGTCCTTTACTTTACTAATAGTGCACTGCTTGTATGCTAGAAATAAAGATTCCAGCTAGTGATAGCTACTGAATATTTCTTTAAAAGAAATATCATTTAAACACTATAATAAAAGTAATAATCGAAGTGACAGTGCTATTTACTACTATGTACTAAGCAGTATTCTAAGTGCTAGCTAGCTTGCTTACCCATCCTGACAACAACTCTATGAGGTATCACTATTCTCTAGGGATATATACATAACTTATCACAACAGAGAAGATTCAATTCCTTCTTCCCCACTAACCAAAAGTACTGAAAAACAGATAACTTTTCAAATCAAATAAGACTATAGACTCTGTGATGGTTAGTCCTATCAAGTTGATTGAATAAACACTTGAGAGGTTAGTAAAGCATAATTCTAGATATGTCTGTGAAGGCACTTCCAAGATAATTAAAACCAGACGACACTGACCTAATCAATGGGCAAACTACTTGAAACTCATACTACCATGGTACAGCTGACAGGTGGAGGAACGAGGTGGGCCTCTGGAAGGAGGTAGACATGGGGAGATGTCTTTAAGGCTGCAAGTGGTTCTTGTCTCTTTTTTCTTTTCTGGCTGAGAAAATATTAACTGTCCTGCTCCAACCTGCCCTTCCAGTCGTGATGGGATGGCACCTCTGAAGCTGGGAGCCAAAATAAATAATTCCTCCCTACATGTTCCCAGGTATTCTGGTCACATGATATAAGCATATCTAACATGACATCAGCCAAGCAGTTGGGTCATTTGTTTTAATACCACAGGGATAATCTGCAAACAAAAATGCAAGTGAACGGACTCAGAAAAGAATATAGTGATAAAGTATTGCTTTGTCTCTTCCACATGAAGTACTGAAAAATGGCATTTTCCCTAGAAATGGTTATAATACTGATAAACGAGGAAATGCCTAAAGTTAAAACAGTCAAATGTTTTGACAATCCCCCCTTTTTTGTTAATTATACTAGCTTTAGGCCTAATGATTCCTTCAGTAACTTGGTGCTTAACTACAATTAATTACATACAATAATTTGTCACACTTTCCCCTGAAACTCAAATGAAAGTTCTAAAACTCTTTCAATAGCCAGGCAGTGGTGGCACTTGCCTTTAATCCCAGAACTCTGGGAGGCAAATGCAGGTGGCTTTCTGAATTTGAGGCCAGCCTGGTCTACTGGGTGAGTTCCAAGACAGCCAGGACTACACAGAGAAACCTTGTCTCAAAAAAGAAAAAACAAATTTTAAAAATACACATACAAAACCAAAAAATATCTTCTATGTATGTGGCAAATATAAACTTCTCTTTATGGAAATCAAATGTTTCCAGTCATAAAACTTTTACTTCCATTTACTTAATCAATTTAAAAATTTAATAAATCTAAAACATTTGCTAAGCATCTTTTATGTGCAATAACTTGTTGATCATATGCACATGAAGAAAGATTTATATTGGGTTTTAAAGTATCAGTGGAGAAACACGTGCAACAACAAAATAACTGAAGTAAATTTTATATGGAATTTAATATACCTTGTCCATAAGGGTTGGTAAAAACAGGATGGTCAAACCAACCGTATACAAGAGCGAAGATTCAGATCAATATACGCTTGTCAGTTACCATAGGAACACACACGCACTGACAAGTTTACAATGAGTGCCCGCCATGAGGAAGCTGTGCTACTCACACTGACGCTCCACTTGGGTAGGCACAGTTTACAGGCGGCTCTGTTACACTTCCAGTTGTCCAGCAATATCTACAGTACTTTTATTCCAGGTATAGATCCCAAATGACACCTACACACGTGACTACCAAACGAAAAGACTGCAACCCACACCTCTGTGTCTAGGTGTAGCCTTGAAAATGTCTCAGCAGCTTCTCCACCTCAAAGTCTGGATTTAAAAGCAACTGTTCTTAACCCAAAGGTCAGAGTTACATAACCAGGAACAAAGGGGAAGAGAAGACTATGAGGCATGGCAATAGTTTGAACTATCTGCCTGAATTTTACAAGAGAGTTAAATACTACTATCCTGTTTAAGTGCCTCTAAATTTTTTTTGTTTTTATTATTTGAGAATTGAATACATGTGTACCATGATGAAGTTACAGGCAGTTGTGATCCACCTGATGTGGGTGCTGAGAACCAAACTGAGGTTCTCTACAAGAACAGTCTGCATTGTTAACCACTGAGCCATCTCTCCAGCAACATATACAATGTGTTTTGAGCAAACCCACCTTGACCCACACACCATTTCTTCATCTCAAATTCTTGTGCTGGCTTTTTCTTTTTTTAATTCATTTGTCCATTTAGTGCTGTCAGTGTGTGGATGCAGAGTCAAGAGCCAGCTACTAGGCTCTGCATCCCTAAAGAAAATTGACTGACCCTCTCCTAGTAGCCAATAGTTCTTCAACTATAGCTGGGACTTTGTAGCTCCCTCTCCCATTCACCCTGGTATTTGTGCTGAATTGAGCTTGTGTGAATCTTATGCATATAGAAACAGCAGCTGTGTGATTCTCATTTTCAACAACCCTGTCATATATGGAAAACACTGTTTTGCAGTAGTCCTCCAGAACCTCTAGCTGTTACAACTTTTCTGTGCCCTTTTCCAGGATGATCTTTGAGCCTTGGGAGGGAGTATGATATGGATGTCTGGTTTAGAGTTGATAACTCCAGTTTCCTATTCTCTGTACTGTGACTAGTTTTGAGTCTCTGTATTAGTTGTCATCTGTTGCAAGAGGAAGCTTTTATAAGAGTTGAGAGCAGCAATAATCTGTGAGCACAATGGTAAGAATTTAGAGAGCAGCTTGATGCTGTGTCCATTAGCAGAATATTAGTATGAGTTTCTCCCTAGAGCGATGACCAACCCAATGTAGTTTGGGCTCAGCTAACAGTACCAAGCATGAGTTCTATCTTGTGGGTCAGACCTTAAATCCAACTAGAAAGCTGCTGGTCGCTCTCATAGCATGCATGCCACTATGCACCAGTGGGCATGTCTTGCCAGGCTTGTTATGATTGTAGATTCCAGGGTTCACAGTTGGGAAAGACTGCTGATGGCTTTTTTTTTTTTCTCCAAGTAGCCTGCATAGCAATGCATAGCCATCTGGCAATACGTATGCTAGCCAGTTCAGACAAAGCTTCCAGGTCAGTACCAGCTCCATTTCTCTATCTTATGACTAAAGTATGTGGTGACTGACATCAGCAATCAGGTCTTACCCTTCAACTCCTGATGGGCAGCCAAGAGCAATCACAGTAGCCTGCACTGTTTGGGGACATCTATAAGACTCCTTCCCCCAATCAACAAATGGAAGTGGGGTAAGACCTTTTATCAAGTTGAACATGAACAGGCCCTTTGAACAAGCTGAAGAAGGGCAGCCCTTTTATTTTCTCAAATTTCTGCCACAGATGAATTTAAAGACTACTTACTCAGAACATTTTAAAACTCCCTTTAGTGGCTATCAGGATGGCTCAGTGAGTAAAGTGCCTCATGATCTAAGTTTGACCTCTGGAGCCCACACAAAGGTAGGAGACAAGCTGACTATACGCAGCTGCTCTCTGACCTCCACATGCATGCATGCTATGGCATGTACACACATAATATACACACATATATATGTATACATATACATGTAATAATTAACTTCAAAATTTCAATTTTGCTGGAGTATCCAGTAATGGTCCCTTGTGGTTTTCTTAAATTCTAGCCAAAATACACAAAACACTTTCTAAAACTAATGGTGGGGAGGGAAACCATACTAACTCAAACTATGCCTGAAGTATACCTTTTATGATTTCTTTATCTTTTTGTTTCTTTTGGGTGGGGTGGGGGTTGACAGAAGGTCTTACTCTATATCTCTGACTAGCCTGGAACTCATTATTTATATGGACCAGGCTGGCCTCAAACTTGTAGCCTGGAACTTACTATGTATATAGACCAGGTTGGCCTCAAGCTTGCAGCAATCCACCTGCCTCTACTTCCCCCAGCCCTCATAGTTTTCTTCTGAGGGCCTGTCCTCAAAGTCCTGCTTTGGCTACTGCAAGTCTGAGAAGCATGCCCCCTCACATCTGACTTACAGTCTTGTGTTTTACAAGGTGAAGAGTATCATACAGAAGAAGGAATGGAAATGACTTTGCAATACTATAGAAAACAGAATTAGGAAACTCTTTTTTTTTTTTTTTT